GGAGTTCAATTAATAGGCCTAAATGTTTTATTGTACTATAATCCATTAGTATGTAAATCATTTCAATGGCTCCAGGAGCGGCAGTAGATAAATATATGATCAATCTGTCTCATCACTGCTTTACCAACCTAAAACAATACACCATGTTTGTTGGGTTTTGGTGGCTTGTTGTGCTAGTAAATGGCAGTGTAAATGCAGTAAGAGATGTTTAAAACTGCCAAGAATAAAATCCTGGAGAGATACTGAAAGCCTGCGTTAATTTCAGATTTTTTTTGGCTCTGATTTTGAACACTGGCATCATCTTCAAAAGCCCAAAGCTGTGGAGTAGTCATTCCTATTGGTTTGAATTGTTAAATGAGCTTGAAGGCACCTCACAGTGGCCAGTAACTGGTGATGTGCGAACAGAGTGGTTTTTGACTGGCATGCCACCTCAGGACCCAAGCGCTGAATGAATCCTTCTGTCCTTTTGTTGAAAATGACTGAGTCCATCTTCCAGCTGAAGTACTTGCTGAGAAGCACAGTTACGCAAGGGATTACATTTGGGGATTAGCAAATCATTTTCAAGGGTAAAATCTAACAGTGTGTGTATGTCACAAATCCCATGCCATTGGTAGGTGTTGCACATACAGCAGGTACACTCATATATACTACACTCTACTATCTTTTATTGTATTTGGATTAGAGCTGCAACTAACAGTTATTTTCATTAACGATTAACCTGCAGTTTGTTTCTCAACTAATTGGTCTATGAAATGTGAAAAAATGGCCAACTTTGTGAACGTTTTAAAGTGTCTTGTTTTGTTCAACCTGTTCAATCTGGTTTTAAAACTTGGCATAGTACAGAATTAGCGTTGTTAAAGGTTTTTAAACGACATTTACCTGGCAACAGATGCTGGTGGCTATGTGATTCTTGTTTTGCTGGATCTGACCGCCGCTTTTGACACTGTTGACCACGGTATCCTAATATCTCGACTTGAGGAGTTAGTGGGCATCCGCGGTACTGCCTTGGAGTGGTTCAGGTCTTATTTGTCAGATAGGACGATGTCTGTTGGGTTTGCTAGGGGAAGGGACACATCATCGGTTGTATCATTATTGTCATGTTTTAATGATGTTAAAAGCTGGATGACTTTGAATTTATTGAAATTAAATGATATGAAAACTGAGGTTATAGTGTTTGGCCAAAAAATTTTGGTGATTCTCCCCCAGTTGATCTAGGTTGCTTGCAGCAGTATGTGCAGTCGACTGGGTGTCAAAATAGATTCCAATTTTAGATGGGAAGGTCAAGTGAACGCAGTTGAAACGGCTAGCTTTTTTCACCTTCGACAGCTGGCAAAGGTAAAGCCTTTTCTTTCGCGGCAGCACTTTGAGACATCAATACATGCGTTTATTTGGCTTTTCTTCACTGGTTGCCGGTGTATTTTAGAATCATTTTAAGATTCTTTTATTTGTTTATAAGTCTTTAAATGGTTTGGCCCCCTTATATCTTACAGAGTTGTTGCGTCCCTATAGTCCTTCTTGGTGCCTCAGATCAGCTGATCAGCTGCTTCTTGAGATACCGAGGGTTAGGTTGAGATTTAGGGGGACAAGGCTTTTGCTGTAGGGGATCCAAAGTTGTGGAATTCATTGCCCCTATATATTAGGCAGGCCCCCTCGTTGTCCGTTTTTAAAGTGTATTTGAAAACTCATCTGTACCTTTTGGCATTTGACCCGGTATGAGGCTTTGTTCTGTTGAGGATTTTTGTTTTATGATGGAAAAGATGAAAAAGAAAAGCAGCAGTTCCCTCTCATTTGTGAATTAGGGACCGGAACACAACTGAATTCAGTTATCAAAATAGTTTCTAATTATTTTTCTTTCGATTGACTAATTAATTAATAACACAAAAAATGATGAAAAGCTGAGGCAATAATAGAGAAAACTGCTGTATTTGTATTTCAAAAACAAGTTACAATGTTTTTATAGTGATTTACAAAAGTCCAGACACAAAACTGAGAAAATATTTAAGTTGGGGTGAAATAATAAAGAAAATAAATGAAATAAAATTTCATTGAGTCAAATAAAGAAATAAGTTTCTACTTCAGAATATTGTTCGCCATCTTTAGGCTTTAATTTTATGCATATAATTCTTACTGTGCTTCCATAAGTGACACATAAATCCTGATTTCCACCGCACAGCTTAAAACCTAACATTTCTCCCCGGTTGATTATGTCTTTGCTGCTGTAGCTGCATGAGATGCATGCCGTTTGTGTGTGGGGGGTATGGACTTTGCCATTTCTGCGAACTTTGAGTCTCATGTTTAGCAGTGCATGGAAACATCTGAGTGTGTTGCTGCCTGTGTGTGATTCTGACTGTTGCATAAGAAGATCGGCCGCTGTCCCGGAGCTTAGCTCTTCTTAGTCTCTCTTCCTCGCTTTCTCACCCTCATCCTATGTCACAGGTCTATCTTTGTTTCACTCCCTCTAATCTTTGTAATTGCATGTATATTGATGGAAGATGATGTCATGATTTGTTGAATAAGTGTGTGTGTGCGCGTGCACAGATTGTATGTTTGGGTATCTAGTAATGTTTGAGCAGGAATAAAATAGCCTTCATATTGATGACACCTGCTCATAGCAGTTGACCATACTGAAGTCTACCTCATTATGGAGCTGTTTGCTAACTTTTTGAACACAAAACTTAAAGGCAGTAAAATTAATTAAAATTAAACAAGAAATATGACCATTTAATTAGCTGTGGTTTGATAAATCAATTTCTATTGTATGTGGTATGTAGTTTGCCATGTATGCAGATGATTAATGTACTATAACACTGTATATCCAGTAGTGACACCATCCCCTGTTTCAGCAGCCTTTTTCTCCACTGTCAGTTATCCTCCAACAACTAGTTTGTGTTTGGCAACCCTTAACATCCCTGTGAGAATCACAAAATATATTAATTTTTTACCATTTCACAGTCTGTTGACACAGAGAGGACTGGACTCACTGGTGATCTAAAAATAAGAGGTTTGGATGAGACTCCACAAACATGACTTTGTCCAACATGTAATGCTGCGAGTGTTTTGGTTGTAAACTCTGTATAGCGCAAGAACATTTTGTCAAAGAAGCTGGTTTGACTCTGTTGAGGAGCTACACACACCGTACCGGATGTATTTTCATGTGGTTAATAATAACATAATTTTCACTGCGGTAATATGCAGAAGGTTTATGTTAGACTTATTCATCTCTATATGAAACGTATCTTCACACTGTTATCTCCCAGTTTTATTTACACCAGAGAATGAAAGGACTTGTTTAACTTATCTGTGACAGTAACATGCCTTAGATAGGTGGATAAATACATGCTGTTAATCTTCTTTAATTGTTAAACTGTGGTTCCATCACTTATGTTGACTTAACCATATAACACACTTTGTTGTTTAGAGGTTGTAAAAGGTCAGATCTTACTAGTTGATCTGTGAGTTGCCTTTAACCTAATTTTTCCCTTTTTTTGCCATCTCTACATCTTTATCTCTTATATGTCTAACCACAGGGTTTCCCATGTATTTTCTCGAGCTATAGTCCACCTACCATTCCAGTGTTTAGAAATGGACAAATAGAATTTAGATTTGTGATGAATCTGCAGATTATTTTCTCAATAATTTTGTCTGTAAAACATCAGAAAGCAGTTGAAAATGCCTGGGAATAACAGAGAAATATTTTCTACAGCCAAGCTATCATTTTGAGTTTTGTCCAGCTAAGCACCGTTAGTGTTGTCTCAGTACCGCCGCTGTGTAATGAATGCAAGTAAATAGGATGCATTGCTGTTGTATTGCTCAGGCAGATAGAATTTCTGCTGTAAGACAAGCCAAAAATAAGCCATTGGTTGCACAGACCTTATAATTAAGCCGTCTTTACAGAGCCTGGCAGGCATCAGACGTCAAATTTCTTGGTAAATATACACGAATTAGTATTTTGTATTACAAAACAGTAATTTGTACCATTAAATTTACATTTCTTGCACATGATTTGTGGCTTCCAAACGCTGCCTGGTCTTTTTATTTCCACATTCCAAAATGTATGCAGGCTTCTTACTGCAATTTAGTATGTTTTTGTTCTGATAAAAAAAGAAGAGTGTTAGAGTCAAATTAAACTAGTGGTGAACCTGTGCTGTTCAACATTGCACTCAAGGTGAAACTGACAAAAAACACAAAGCAAATATCAGCAGTAATAACACGGCATTAATGAAGATCATATTGAAAGTTTTACTTGATGAGGGTGGGGAAGATGATGAAGGTAGTAATAAACATGGTGATGACTGTAATGCATGCACTGATGTTTGTCACAATGATGTAATTGATGATGATAATAGCGGTGAAGATGGTGATAATGATAATAATGAGATGGGGATAATAGTGATGCTAGCAGCAGTGGTGATGGTGTATATTATAATGGTATCTGTGACCCATTTACAACTGCTGTTAACATGCAGCTTGTATCTGTGTACCACCCGGGTAAGAAAAAATATTAATTCTGGTGTAACCAAATGCAAAAAAAACCCCTACAATCAGAATGCTCAAGTGAGCCCCTACCTCAGCAAAGCACAAACAGGTAGCAGCCGTTCACCAGTATCGTTTCTACTGTGTCCTGCAAAGTTATTTGTTAAGAGGTCTGTCGGTTCTGCCCACTTAATTTACACTTGTAAATTGGATCACAAGGGCAGAATCTTATAAACAGCAGGTGTAAATGCAAACCCCTGTTATAAGAAATATTTAGCCAGATAACATGCTAGGTGCAACGGGCAGGTGAATGGCAGGAATAAATGGGGTTAGAAATGAAATAATGATGAAGATAGTGATAATGATACAGGCGGTGGGAGGAGTGTAATGCTAGTGAAGATAATGACCTCTTCCGTGTACACTGGTGTGTTTGTTTGTGCTGGGGGAAGCCCTCCTGCTGCGTTCACTGTTCAGCTGTGTTATTTCTCACTGATTTACTCTGTTTCTCTCTGCCCTTGTCTGCGCAGATTGACTTGGAGCCAGAGGGGAAGGTGTACGTGGTCATCGATCTGTCCGGATCCTCCACCGAGGGTAGGACCAAAACACACAACTTGACTGGTGCAGACACAGAAAGGAAAGGAGAAAGAAATGAAGTATAGATGAAAATACACATGCACAGGTCTCTGTTTTCATGACGGTTTGGTATGTGCTAGCATAAGGTAAAGCAACAGTATGTTCAAAAGCTGGTGGTAAGGAGTCTGGAAAGGTGGAGCTAATTATGTTTGCAGAGTAAAATGGGATAAATCAAATCAAATCAAATCAAATTTGTATAGCGCCAAATCACAACAAAAGTCATCTCAGGACACTTTACAAAGTAAGGTCTAGACCTTACTGTTATCACTATTATTACATAGGGAAAACCCAACAAATCCCCCTTGAGCAAGCACTTGGCGACAGTGGGGAGGAAAAACTCCCTTTAACGGAAGAAACCTCCGACAGACCCCGGCTCTTGGTGGGCGGCCTTCTGCCTCGACCGGTTGGGGTGAGTGGATAGAGGAGAGACAAAAGAAGAAAAGCAACAAGACACAACAATCAAACACTGATCAGGTCGATGTGGCTGGTGACTGCTCGTCAGAGACGTAGAGCTCCAGGGCCAGGGCAACCTGCAGAAAGGTACAGGGAGAGAGGACACACTACGGGAGAGAGGAGACACAAAGTTAGTAATGTGTAATGGTGGCATATAGAAGCATAGGGAGAGAGAGGAGAGGAGAGCAGAGCAGGAGGGGAGGGGAAAGAAACTCAACTCAGAGCATCATGAGGCCCCCCAGCAGCCTAGGCCTATAGCAGCATAACTAAGGGAAGGCTCAGGGTCACCTGATCCAGCCCTAACTATAAGCTTTATCAAAAAGGAACGTCTTAAGTCTAATCTTAAAGGTAGAGAGGGTGTCCGCCTCCCAAACTGAGACTGGGAGCTTGTTCCACAGGAGAGGAGCTTGATAGTTAAAGGCTCTGCCTCCCATTCTACTGCTGTGGACTCTAGGAACCACAAGTAAACCTGCACTCTGAGAGCAAAGTGCTCTGTTAGGATGATGAGGCTCTACGAGGTCTTTAAGATACGATGGAGCCTTGTCATTAACATGAACAAATTGAAATTTTTCTGATAAATAAGATTTGAACCAACTTAGTGCAGTTCCTTTAATCCCAATAACATGTTCAAGTCCCTGCAGTAAGATGCTGTGATCAATGGTGTCAAAAGCAGCACTGAGATCTAAGAGAACAAGTATGGAGACAAGTCCTTTGTCTGAGGCTAGGAGAAGATCATTGGTGACTTTCGCCAGTGCGGTTTCTGTACTATGATGGACTCTAAATCCTGACTGAAAATCCTAAAACAAATCATTCTTGTGCAAGTGGTCACATAACTGCTTTGCAACAACTTTTTCAAGGATTTTGGAAGTAAATGGGAGATTGGATATTGGTCTATAATTAGCTAGGACAC